CACACACACACACTGAGCTAGCACACACATAAACACATACAGACAGCACCCCCAGCACCCACCCCCAGTGGAGCCCAGGGGAGAAAGAATGGCAGCTGGGAGCTGCTGGGGTAGAGAGCACCAGGAACTCCTGGGAAAACATCCACTCACGCGCCCTGGGAAGGCGAGTGTGACCGAGGTGCGCCCAGCCCAGGCTTGGCTCTGGCCAGCCCAGCTGCAGCATCCAAGCAGGCTCCGCTGGCGCTGGTGCGAGCGTGACTGCCACCATGCAGCAGCAGGAGGGATCGACCGCCTACAGACTGCCTCTTGAGCTGCGCAGCAGATCTAGATCAAGAAAGGAATGTGAATGGGGCAGTGGTTCTTGTCCCCCATCCCCACCCCACCCCAGTTCTCCCCCACCTATTTTTTCTATATCACCCCAATTAAAAGATGTGGAGCTACGGAGACACTGGTCTCTAATGCCGACTGGCCAAAGCCTGCTTCCCCTTCGCGACTGGGTCAGGAACTTCGGAGGGACCAGGGAAGCAGCCTGGGGCCCAGTTGGAGCTTTTGTGTCCTCCCACAGGTGGAGCTCTTACCAGAGGGGGAGCCAGACAACGGTGGGACCAAGATCAGTGTGAGTAGCCAAGGGCCAGGTGACTAAACTCCTGCCTTAGCTAGTAGGCAGGACCGAGATGAAAATTATTTCAAGAATTCCCAATTTTAGAAAACATTTTACGGTATCCCGACTTTATGTTTTCCCCAGGGAAGGCAAATTTGCAAACGGCGGAAGAGTATCCAGTCTTTTACCTCATTAGTTACATAAAAATTGAAACAAATTTAGATTTCAATCATGTAAATATTTAACCAGTGCCATCAAAAGAAGTTGTGTGACTCATTTTTGCCTTAGATCTTTATAACAATTATATACTGATAAGAGCAAAGGGCTGTAGTGCTAATATCCATTCAACCTTATAGAAAATTGTTCATTAGTAGGAATTAAATTAATGAAATGCTTAAAACTTCCTGGGCGGAAAGAGTTAAAGCATCTAACAGAATGTCAATATCCTTAAAAACAAACAAGAAAAACAATTCATTTTGGAATGACATTCAAAATTCCCAATAAAAGATATGCTATGTGTTTCTTATGCTAGGTTTAAAAATCATATATAATTATGAAAAAATAATGGAAGGATGTTAACCTATTTGAAATACAGAAATGTGTTCTACTCTACAGATTTTAATAATTTAGTGTGAAACTGAAAGAAAAAACATGGAAATACTTGTATTACTATTACTCAAATAATGCTACATATAATCTCCCTTTATATTAATAAAACTGCTTAACTAACTGATGAATAATAAGCAAGTTATCATTACTAGAAAAGAAATCACTTTATAATAAGAATGGAAAATATGCTAAGCATAAATATTGCCCTTTTACAAATCTAAAAACCAAATGATACATACTTAAAACTGAATTTTATTTTTAAGGTCTTACAATATAATCTTAGTTGGTATAATATTCGAATAACAACATTCCTGTGTATAAATATACTGTATTAGTAGAATCAAGCTCTATGATCTAGATGTATAATCTCAACATGGAAAAAAAACAAACAAAATTGCAGTTTATATTCATAAATGTGCTGACATTTTAGAATATTTCAATTTCTATCACTCTTATATCACAGAAAATTGTTTTTATATGGTGGTAGAAAGGCATTGCTAAGAAAATCAATTGTGAAGAATAACTTTTTCTCAAATATGTCATATTCATATATAATTGGAGAAATTATGTATTGACCATTCATCTTTCACATTTATGTCTTTCAAATCTCTCAAAAATTAGTAAAAAATCACACACCCTGGCCTAAATATGTGTAGATATAGACATATATATCATCTATGCCAAATACCTCATAAAATCTAGACAACTGAAAAGAATTCTAAACACAAATTAGGTCAAAAGTAATTCCTATAATGCCCAAGAAGTGACCTTGAGTATATCTCCTAACTCAGCAGTTCTTAATTTAAAATTCCCCAGAGAACTTTTATAAAACATTAGTACTGGCACCACCCTATCGAAATGTAGATTGAATAGTTCTGCATTAATCCAAGTGAGAATATTCTTTAAAGTTCCCCAGATGATTCTAAAGTGCAACTAATGCTGAGAATCATTGACCCCCAATTCCCAAAGCCTCATTTTACTTAGCTTTGAAATGGGCTATTAATGATATAAATACATTGGCTACCTGAAACTCTATTGGGAAATTCAACTGAGAATATACTTGAAACTACTGATTTTCATTATTTTTTCTAGTAATAATTATATGTAATTTTGCATTTATATAAATGCACCCTTATAGTTTATAGCCCAAACACTGAAAACTATTTATTTGTATGTAAATTTCTACATGTTAAAAAAACAAAATAAACAGATGAACAGGACTTATTCAAGTTTTCCTAACCATTTATAAACACTTAAAGATGTGATAGAAAGTAGCAAAATACATAAATAAATGTTTAACTTCTTCACTTTTTTTCTCTAGCTTTCAAAGTATCCAAAATATTAAATTCTGCCTGTCTTATAAAATAGATAGATCGATGAATCTTTCCATTATAATGATTATATGATATATATCAAATAAGATGTATGGAAATATGTAGGTCTCACGATTAAATTGGAATAGACTTTATTACAAGAAATAAGAGAATGCATTTCCGTTTTGCAGGCCAAACTAGTGTTTAATTGATGGCATCCAAGTTTCAGTACCATCAATTTCCTCCCATCCCAGGAGGAAATACTTGCAGCTGTAGACTTCATGCCATACTAATCTTGCCACTCTATGATGATGGGCAAACTACGCGCCAATTTCCGAACCACCTCGAACAACCAAGGCTGCTTTGTCTGTGCCTTCATGAGTCACCCCAATGTGAAGCTAGAGGTGCACCCTCACCTAGACTTCATGGTGAGAAACAAAAGGAAAATTGAGATCTCTCAGAGCGGAGAGGCCTAGTTTGTAACTCACGATGAAGGAAAGAGGTAACCATAAACTGTAGACATGGTCTAATTTCATTTGTGCTTCATTCAGCTGAGTCAAGTAGGCAGAAATTGGGCCCTTGATTAGAAAATAACAGAACTGCTATTGAAATCTGGGAAATGAGTCATCGAATCTGAAGTTGGCTGGTTTAAACTCCCGATCCCAAGATTCTGCCAATCCAGTTGTTAGTGGAATAGGGAAAATAAGACTTTCAAGTTTTATTGTTGATAAAATAAGCAGACTCCCTAATTGTGGCTGTGAGACCATTCAAAACCCTCGTGTTTTACTTAGGGGATTGGTGACTGTAGAGCACCATGCCTCTTTTAAACCACTCGGTGGATTCAAACCACCAACCTTTAAGTTAGTTTTGTTGTTATACTTAGGTGCTACATAGCCAGTTTGGGCTCATATTGACTATAGGCAAAACAGAAAGAAACGCTGTCTTGCCTTCCATCCTTTCAATTGTTATGCTTGAGCCCATTGGTGAAGCAACTTTTAAGTTAGTAGTCAAGTGCAAACCATTTGTGCTATCTAGGGCCCTACGAGACCATCGGTGCCTCCCCATTCTTTCAGACCTTAACAAGATTCACACAAGTAATGTGAACAAAACCATTTGATGTAGCACTTGATTATTTTTTTACCTGCAATTTTTCAGACAGTGAAAGTTCAAGGCAATGATATCTCCCACAAGCTTCAGATTTCTAAAGTGAGGAAAAAGGATGAAGGCTTGTATGAGTGCAGGGTGACCGATGGCAATTACGGAGAACTTCAGGAACACAAGGCCCAGGCCTACCTGAAAGTCAACGCCAACAGCCACGCTAGGAGGATGCAGGCCTTTGAAGCCTCGCCCATGTGGCTGCAAGACATGAAGCCGCGCAAGAACGTCTCGTCAGTTGTTCCCAGCAGCATCCACAGCTCTGCCAACCAGCAGCGTGTGCACGCCACCTCCAGCCCTCAAGCGGTAGCCAAAATTCCTAAGCAAAGTCCACAATCAGGTATGGAAACCCATTTTGAGCCTTCATTTTACACGCTCCATCCCTTTACAGGAAGGGATTAATAGAATAGACAGATTTATATATGACAGTTTTTAAACTGGGAGGCCTGGTGCAGTTGCAATAATGAGTTATTTGACATTGGGAGCCCCAGGCTGGCCTTCACAGAGGACGGGAGTTTGCCACATTTGGTGCTGGCAGTGCTTCATGCCCTGGGGAATTAAGAGCTGGACTCCTTTTGTACCCTCCTGTATTTACACATTATAAGAACAATAAATCATGCAATGCTAGTTACGTTATAAATGCATGTTCATTTTCTCCACAGATTTATGTATCGATAATGACCCAAATTAAGAGACTTTCACTTAATCAAAATGTAAATGCAAGAGACAATGCCATACCGTCCACATTTTCAATGACCCATAGTTTTCACAAGACTATTCTCCAAGGGCTTTTGATTTTGAAGGAGCAACTTCTGCCGCATGTGATGAAAGCTGATGATACTAATGGGAGCAAGGGAAGGGGATGAAAGGCAATAAGTGGTGCAGAGATAAGGCAACTCCTGTAAATGTGCGTCTGATGCCAATTTAGAAGCTGAGTCACACATTTCTTATGTCAGCTGTGCAAGTTAAAGCTGTTCTGAATAGCATTAATTTATGCACTTATTCAGCCAATAGAAACTCATTGAAGTTTTAACCTTGACATAGGATAGATGCCTTCTTGGAAAAAGCAAAACCCAGCACAACCTCATTGTCGTTGTGTGTGTGTGTGTGTGTGTGTGTGTGTGTGTGTGTGTATGTTTCCCAAGCACTTGCCATAATATATCAGGATGTGAGGAGCAACAAAATATCAAATTCCTCTTTAGCCTTTGCATTTTGACCTTGAAGAATTACTGATATCACTTGGCAAGAGAAAATCACATTCCAGGCCTTTGGAGCCATTAAATAAAAATATCAGCTCACTTTATCAGGATGCTTTCTGAGTGAGGTATATATATCTTCAAGTCCTTATGCGTGAACAATGTTTTCAAAATAATGTCTGTCAAACTAGACTTTCTCCTCGTGCTTCCTGCGTTTGGGGATATGATGTACAAACCACTGGAGTCCTCTGAGTTTTCACTGGCCTTTACATGTAGCCTGACAACTATTCCTGCTTGCCTTGCTTATACCAATCTATCAATCTGGAGAGTAGACACCGCTCTAAAGCCTGGTTTTCATAGTTCTCTTTTATTGTCCTCTTTATCATAGACTTTTGCCTTCCAAATTAAAGGATATAACCAGCATATCCAGAATGAATAAATATTTTAATACCTTAGTTATAATTTTGTAACTATTATTTGGCAGATTTAATTGCATTACAGGTATTGCCTCTTCTCCCTCTCCGTATTAAATCCTACATGCAAAACTACAGATTAAGCTCTGCAGACAATTTACAACCTACTCAAGTGAGAACTTCCAATGATGGAAAGTGAAATTGTTAAACTACATAGAGTATACCAAGCTAGATACCATAAATCTATTCTGTAACCTAAAATTAGATTACCTATTCCGAATGAAGGGTTCTGAGCAAAAAGTGAGATGTTTGATGTCTACAATTTTTTTCTTTAGTTCTTTGGATTAAGCAATGTGCTCTGTAAGAGCAGTAGAGCTTGTTTCAATGCTGCGATTAGAACAAAATGGTAAATCATCTCATAATTTGCAACTAAAAAATCACTGCTTATTTTCACCACCACCCACGCTCTTAGGAACAAAATAAATTTTCTTTCTGGAGGAAGGGTGAAAGGAGAGAAGTAATGCTGACTAATGGATATCTATACTCATTTAAAAACCTGTTTTAGCCCCAAATAATTTGAAATACCACAAATATTTAATTCTTCCACCAGTGAATACCTGAAAATATTTTATTTTCCTTCAGTATTTTCTAACTTCTAGTTCAGAACTTAGGGAAACCAGCCATATTCTATTTACACATGAATTTGTCATGTGTAAGATTTTTGTGCTTGCACAGTTATGGTATATAATACAATGCCTGGGATGGATATTTATGTAGCATATTCCCTGTAATACCCACATTTTCATCCCTAATTTGCTTTATAATTTTTCAGCCTATCTTCAAATAAAGCTTATTTCTATGCCTTTGCTTCATTCATTCATTCAGTCATTCAGTCATTCATTTACCAATCATCCCTTCCAAGAGTTCATATGCCAAGTCCCAATGACCCAAGTAATGGAAAACCTATTTTTCTTTCCTTAAGGACTTTATATCTTAGGTCGTGAAAAAATGTAAATGTATTTTTTGTACCTTATTCACTCAAAGACAAGACAGGATGAAGACATAAACATTAAAATGTTGGATTCAGAGTCCAAGAGCTCCACTAGTCTTTTAGCTACGTGGCATTTGATACCCGGATATATGGTGATCTATGGAAGATAGCACACTTTAATAACAGCTGCTGTCACAAAAGGCGTATCTTCTTCATCTTTACTTCAGAACCCTTGACTTAGATGATGAACTTAGTCAGTGGGCAACTTCCTAATTCCTGAAGTTAGAAAAAAAAGCAAACCAAACATCTTTATGATATGTCTTTTTAAATTATTTAAGTTCTACCTGAATTTGGTAATCAATCAGGACAGCCCAAATAGTGAAGGAAAACGATAAAGCAAAAGATCCGACATGGGTTTGACAATCCTGTGTGTTTCTTTGACCACCATTGCTCATGCCCAAGCCCTTATTTATTGCTCAATGTTGAGAAGCTTGCAAAGGAAGAGAGGCGCGAGTAAATAACAAGCATGGAGAGAGCAAAGCAGGAGTCAGAATTGTAGGGAATATTCGGAGAAAGGTTCCGAGGAGGGTGACTTATTTAACTAGAGGACTCCTGTAGGGCATCCTGGAAGAAGGAACTGGGACCA